CTCTCTCTCTCTCTCTCTCTCTCTCTCTCTCTCTCTCTCTCTCTCTCCCTCCCCCTCTCCCTTTCTCCCCTTTACTCTGGCAGTGCTGCAGATAAAAACCCTCAGACCTCTGAAAAGCTACTACACCACTGAGCTACATCCCCAGTCCTGCCCTTCCCACCCCTTTTCTTTCAAGATTGCTTAAATTGTACCCACAATGCCTCTCTTCCAGTATTCCTTTTGTATAGCAGGGATTGCAGGTGTGAGCCACCATGCCCAACTGGCCCTCTTCTCCTGATAACCCTTGACCATGATCTGAGGGCTGCTGCTTCCGTTGTCTTCTAATTTCGAATCTTAAAAGCCTGGCTGAGAGGGTGACTGGTGATTGTTCTGAGTCAGCGGTCCTGTGGCTTTAGACACATTTTACCCGCCCTAGCCTGCCTGTTTTTCCCCTTTAAGGACAGAACGGGAGCTAGAGAATTTCCAGGGACTTTTCCAGATCAAAGGTCATTGACCTCAAGATTCTGCCCGTTCCTTTGATGACACCTGCTGATGGGGCTGTGAGGGGACCGCGCGTGCGTGTGTCTGGGAGCTGTGGGCACCAGCAGAGCATCTGTCTTCTAGGCTAGATGAGTGGTTTCCATGGAGAGCAGATTTCTTCCTGTCTGGGACTGATGGCGTTTGGGGATGGGCAGGACCCTGCGTAACATAGACTTGAGAAACAGGAGAGATACTCAGGGCTTTCTTTCCATTAAAGTCCTCGTCCTGGACCTTGAGCAAATTTCTCAGCACAGAAGCATTTGGCACGACTACCAAGCCTGCTGCTCACGCCTGCCGAGACTGCGGAACGCTGACGACAATTGCTGACATCCTTCCTGTGTCTTCTGCGCAAGTAGAGTGGCCTTCCTCCCCTGGGAGCAGGAAATAGCTATTTCCCAGACAGGTTAGTCAGGTTTGGGACCCTCCTCCAACCCACCCACATTGCTTTAAGGATCTTGACACCCACACAATTGCGCCACCAACTTTAAAAACCCTCCTAGATGTTAGAATATTTGTCCTAGACGCTGATTTAGATCATGAAGGAAGTGCAGCCAGAGACAGGGGCAGGCATGGGAGGTGGGGGTAGGAGGGAGGACAAAGGGCGTAGATTAGAGGCAGAACACAACAGATGTTGATTTAGGGGAGCTGAGCAAGAATGGTCCTGTCAGGAGTAGAGACCCATTATTCCCTTGCAGTGCTGAGGCACCAAAGGTCATGTGCTACTAACCTTAGCTTATGCTGTATCTAGACTTGAGCTCCTTGCTCTGGGTTGGTTGTCTTTGTCTTGTTTCATACTTAAACTTGAAATTCACAAAGCCTGATTGAATCCTGACCTGGACTGGGTAACAGCTTACACAGGCAACCTTCTCTTGTTGTGTATCTCCTCCATGTTGGAATAATCTATTTATGCAACTATTTCTTCAGTACCCTAGGGACTTACTGAAAATACGTACAATCATATATCATATATATACAATCAAATTTTGCCGCCAATTTGAACTCTTTGTATAAGAAAATATGCCAATCTTAGATTACTGGTTTAAATTTAAAATAATGTGTTTTGCAATCTCTAGAGTACAAACTTCTAAAGCGTCATTAGTTTAGGGAATGAAACATATATATCATATACATATATTTGTATATCTTTTAAAAAAGTTCTCTATTCCCCCAAACACATATTTTCAAAGATATATTGAATATATAAATATATAAAGCATTTAAATATAAACACACATATCTGTGTGATTGATGTTATGTATGTAAGGGGAACACACAGGCCTCAGTATATTTGTTGTTGAATGAATGAATGAATGAATGAATATACAACAAGTGAATCACACATTTAATGGATTTTTTAAAGACAATTTCTCTGAATAGCCCTGGCTGTCCTTGAAGTCAGAGATCCACCTGTTTCTGCCTCCCAAGTGCTGTGATTAAAGTGTGAGCCACCACTGCCCAGCTGGTGGTTCTGTATTTGGGGGAGGAAATAGAGAACTTTTTCTAGAAGAAAGGTTCATTTTTCCTATGTGAATATTTGGCTTTATATGCACTGCATATGTGTAGAGCCCACTAAGATCAGAGAGGGCAACTGGATTCTCTGGAGCTGGAGTTACAGACAGTTGTGAATCACCGTATCAGAAGAGCTGTCTCTCCAGCCCCCGAATCTATACCTTAAATCAGTTTTCCATAGTAATGGAAAGCTAACACGGAAAAATAAGCTGCTTTGAAATTTTACTTCAGTGACCTCAGGGGCAGAAACAGATGGTATCTCTTGGAAAGAGGAAACTCAGCTTCATGAGGGTCCTGTGGTATCTGTTCTTCCCATTCCTCCTCATCCCTCACACTCCCTATAGCTTCTTCCAGCCTGAGAATGTGAAGGCAAGTATACCACCACAGGCCGCGTTCCACTGGACACAGGACTCCTCAGGTGGACTCCACCTAGATGGCCTTGCCAGGGTCTCTTCAGACCAAGCTGCAGCCCAGAATATAGGCACTGCTCCCCACTCTCCTTCACTGCAGAGCTGGCCTTCCCTGCTTGCTGCTCCACTCCTTGTGGGCGTTTCATCAGAAGAAACATTTGGGCCCTTGGTAAGGCCTTCGCCTCTGTTTCTCAGGAGACATAGACCAATACATATCTCTCAGTTCTCTAGGAAGAAGCCTCTGAAATGTCCCTTTGCCCTCTAGGATCCAACAAGCTGGTTGGATATCTCAGTGGTGGCCAGACCCTGTAAAACTGGGATTCTGGATAGAACACATTCAAATCCATACACCCGCACACAAATTTGTGCGTTGGCATTTTGAGTTTCTATGACCATATTGTTTTCAAAGTCAAGTATTGTGTTTGAGAGTAAAAATCTCCTAGGGTAAAACAAAAATATTAATCAAATGATTCCTCATAATAGATATATCAGTTTTCACTTTATTATTGAAATGTAGCAGTCAAAGAAGGTAAAGGAAAGCAAGAATGACAGAAGAAGATATTTCTTGGTTACAGTTTTATAAGGAAAATATATAAATGGTGCAATTAAAGAACTGTCTTTGAGCAAAAAGAAATTTGCTCCCTAGAAAGAAAGAAGTATTAGCTAACAAACAGAATAAGCTTTTAAAAACCAGGAAGTAAAGGAAGAGGAGGGAAAGACAGAGGAGTGAAGTTTTTAGGTTTTTGCTGTTGTTGTTTCTCTCTTTTTATTTTGTTGTTTGTTTGTTTGTTTTTGTTTGTTTAATATTCTTATTTGTATTTTTAAATTTTTATTCTTTCTTTTTTTTTCTTTGGGGGTGCTACAAGGGTGATGGGTAGACACAGGGGGACTGGGAAATGAGTGGGATTGGGAAGCATGATGTGAAATTTCCAAAGAAACAATAAAAAATTGCATTTTAAAAAATATGAGGGAAGTTGAATCCTGATAAGAATATTTGATCTGGCAAAGCATGTGAATGGAAGCTGGTGAGTGAACATTTAACCAGTTCTGTTCCAGAGGGAAGGCCTGTGTTCGGGTGAGGAGCCGGAGTCCCCTCTCAAATGCTAGCTTGCCATTCCCAACTTTTATGCTTCTGTACCAGATGCAAGCTTATGTGTTTCATCTGCTATCTCGGGTCTTGGCCAACATAAATGACACACATGATCAGCAAACGATGCCACTGTCTCTGCTGTTTGAAGAGATGCCTGAGAGGGTCTCTAAGATGCAGTGTATGGGTTGGGTGTGTCTCTGAACACGAGAAGATGAGGAAAAAAGAGCAAGGCGCCCAGATTAGTGAATGATAGGAGATACCGTGGAGGAAGCCAAGCAATGGGTTTGCATGTGTTAATGAGCAAAAAGTTTGAATGTCTTCCATCTAGATGGTGTATAAGGTTGGAAGTGTTGGCTCATGGTGGTGCCTATGCCCACTGAGGTGAAAAGAATGTCGAATGTGTTGAAAAGTCCAGTGAGCCCCAAGGAGTTAGCAAATGGGAGGAGTGTGGTGTGCAGTAGCTCACCATCCAAGGAGAAAAAACCCTGCACTCCCAGATGGAGGGATCTTGCTAATAAGATGCTTTGCACTGGGCCCACCTCTCTTTCTCCATTCTGCACCCTCTCCTTAACTTTTAAGTCTTGGGCAGGGCTTTCCTTTTTAATTAAATGTTTTACATATACTATTTTTGATCATATTTCCCTCCCTCCAGATCCTCCCCACATCCCTACCCACCAACTCCATGTTGCTTCTCTTTCTCAAAAAAGAACATAAAAGAAATAACAACAACAAAAAAAATGGCAAAACAAACATGTGAAAAAACCAGTAAGACAAAATCTGAAAACAAAAAAAACAAAAAGCACATAGAGAAACATGGAGCTGCTTTGCACTGGCTAGCTACTTCTGGGCATGGGCCTGCCCTGGAGTGGTTGATATGCTCAGTATCACTAAATTGGAGAAAACTGGTTTTCCTCTTCTGGCAAAAATCAGTTGCAAACAGCTTTTTGGTTAAGGGTGGGACTTAATGCCAACTTTTCCTCCTCTGTGCTAGGATTTTATAAACAGGGTTTTTAATAGTTAACATTAATGCTGTAACTTAATATTGATGTTCGAGCTCCATCACTCACTAGGCACAGGGATAAAGAGGAACTAATAGGCAAGACAGGTAGATGCTGACAAAGCTTTTCTGCATTTGCGTGACGTTATCAAATGCTAAACTGGAAATACTGCACCAGTAACGTTACTCACCAACACAGGGGAGCAGCAGGATCCAAACCGTGAGCAGCGCGATCATTGTGGGAGAGCAAAGGACAAGGTATGGGCGTAGACTAGAGCAGCTCCCTGGGAGAGAGGCCAGCAGAACATGACAAACATGCTTTTAAAAATACTGCAGAAGACCCACCGTAAGCTTCTCGCCCCCTTTGTGCCAGAGGCTCAAATTCTGGAAGTATTTCTGTCCCAGCTTCAATACCAGCTAGCACTTTTGACATGAAGAGCTAGTGTCTCCTCATGGAAACTCAGCTTACCCAGTAGTAACATGGAAAGTTAGCTGTGTTCTCCCCCAAAGACATGGCAATGTCTTGTTCCTTCATGCATTTATTCCACAGGCATTTACTGCAGACATAGCACGAGGGAGGGAGGTGGGTTTGAACCCTACCAATACCACTCAAGAGATAAATAAACCAGGGGACCACACGGGGGAGCTGCCTGCCAACAAATGGTCCTCTCCTGGAACAGCTGCACCTTTCGTCCTTAGTTTTTGAGCACTTGAATTATCTGGTTGCAGTCGTAGGATATCAGTGGACATCCTCACGGGTTGCGACGGATAAAGGAATAGAGTAAGAACAAACGTCCTGGAACACCATCACACTTTCTTATGTGTCAAGGATTTCTTGATTGTCAAGTATTTGACTTGAATAGACACTCTAATGCCCAACAGCAGTGTAGTTAACAGGAGAAAGAAGACCAGAGGGATTTTGAAATACTTTTCTCCCTAGTTATAATTCTCTATGCAGTGGAAAATGATTGGTCGTCTTGTGCTTATTCTGGTTTAGATCCCGATTTTAGGGCATTGTATGAATGATGATACAGGATGATCCAGACTATCCCAGTAGCACACATCGGACTTCTGGATAGGGTTGTAGATTTTGTACCCTGCACAAGGGTGCTTGGCCAACAGGGCATATGGAAGCCCCTAAACTACTAAGCTATATTTAAGTGTACCTCTGCAGAGCCATCGACCTAGGAGAAGGGGCACTTTCTATGATGTGTCCTCCTAGAGGCAAAGGCGGTACTCCACACATTAGCGGTTGTCATGCTGGAATCTCCGTGTCTAGGAACTCAGTTTAGTATGGAGAGTCCTGAGTGAGAAGACCTTGTGTGCTCTAAGATCACTGCTGTATGAACCTGCCTCTAGTGGCTGCAAAATGAATGTGTTTCGAATGAAAGAAAATA